TATTATTGTTGTATTGTTGGCTCTTGCCATAATTACTACTACAAGTACAATAGATACAGAAGGAATGCTGTGTCATAGGCCTATCCTATTGCATTATTATTATCATAGGCCCACTTTTATTATTGTTCAAATTTGTTAATCTGGTTGTGGATCCAAAAGGACATTTAATCCCCGAATTTCTCACCGTCAATCCAAGGGCACCATCCGAGAATTCTTCTTCAAAACCTTCATCTTCTTCTTTAAAAGAGTCTTGATGCCGATTGTTATTATTGTTGTGTTTGGGCGTCACGTTTGCTTTGCCGTTGCGCTGCTCACCGCGTTCCCGATAAGCAGATTGAGACAGTTTATCACTTGGCTCTCGACTTCTTTCGGCCTCATCTCCTTGCTGAACACTGCTAGAACAACCCATGGTTTCATCGTTCAGCACCCACGGTGCAGTATTTTCCTTGTGAGGTACACCCCAAGGCTTACAACATCACGTCAAAGGCATGATTAGACCCACAGACCCTCATAATCATAAAACTAAGCCAGATTGTTTACATGCGTTTCTAGACAAAAAGTTAAACCGGAAATCTCTCACTGTAGCTCTTATTAACGATAGTGACCGAACAGTACCGGAAGAAATGAAACCGATTGTTGAAAAATGTCGAGTGTGCAAACCATTACTATTAAACCTCTCTTCAACCATTATACATGACAGTGTTCTGTCATGTAGTTCAAAGAGCACCCGGTGTCATGGTAACAGCAACCATAAAAAAGCTATAAAATTGACATTATGGCAATTAATGGCAATGATGACAGTGGCATTATTGGCAGAGAAGTACAGCGTGGCTCGCGAGTGATAGTGATTGAAGAAAACAATCAGTGTGTGAATCGATCACTGCCTTTGATTAGAAAGCTTGGCAAATTGGTGTTTTCGAGAGTAAAGCTAGTGGTAGCCGAGGTCAGAATGGGGAGAAATAGCTTTAAGGCCTAAATGGGGACGGTTATGGTGGTGGTGGCATTAAAAATTAAAGAAATTAATGCGTTGGATGTATTACCCTTTAAAGAATAATAACGAAATTCCATAATATAACTATTGCATTGACACTGATTCCTCTCTCATTAATTATTTCTGACGGTTAAACATTCCCACATGCTCATGAAAACAAACAGCATACTATATATAGCCCACGGTATCAAAAGAAATAAATACATCACACACAAATACATGTCACACACTAGCACCCCCCAAAAAAACCACACAACAACAAACAAACAAGAAACCACACATTCTCTCTCTCTCTCTATCCCTCTC